GGGCTTTTTTTAAACTAAAATAAAATTGGACTAATTGTATTAATTAGATTATGAGTTGGATTAAAATATTTTTATAAATTTTTTAAACTTAATTATTTTAATTAATGCATGATATAACTTTAAGTAGTGTAATGGAAAATTGAATATTTTTATTAATTAATTTGATAGAATATTAATTAGTACTTAAATTCACTTAAATAAATAATTCAAACAAATAAGTTAAAATTACAAAATAAGGATAAACATTAAACTCACATAAAATTAACGGTACAAACACTAAAATTAAAATAACAACATAAAAATAAACTAAAAAACCCATCTTAAAGCTCACATATACTACAATCGCAATAATTAATACAGAACGTAAAAATAAAAACTAAAAAAAGATTGTAAAAATAGACGATTTAATGTTTGTGTTGATGATTTTTTTTTTAAAAAAAATAAATGTTTGTGGAAATCCACGTGGTTTTATGATGTAGTGTAATTTCGTCATTTTTATTTAAATTTATTAATTAATCTTATTAATCAATAATTAATATATATACATAAATATGTAAATTTTAGCAAGCATAATGTATTAAAATGTAATTTGTAGAGATTATTTAATAAACTAATGAAGTTAGAAAAGAATATGCTTGTAATATTCTTTTAGAGGAGCATTATAGAGAGATGAGTTGGGGTTGCTGACACTGTTGAAACTGTAAAATTAGTGGGATTTCACTGTAGAAACTGTAAATAGAGAGAGCATGTTTGGAGATGCTCTAACAACTAATTATTCCACATTTTAAAAATTAACAAAACCAAACCAAAAAAATCCAACATAAAAAAAAAGAATTATATCCAAGCAAAGACTTTATGGAACTTTAAAAATTCTGTGTATTTAGTTTAAGCTTTTTAAAAATTTTCAGACTCCTAATAAGTCATGAGTTATTCATTTATTTATTTATTTATTTATTTTAAAATATTAACAGATCACTAGATATTTACATTTATTTGACACTGAGATTTACTGTAATTTATTAATATTTACTATGATTTCATAAACAAAAATCTTATACTATAATTCGTCTTCTTTTAAAAATGTTAAAATTATGGTTTAGAGCATATATATATGTTTTTAATGATATATTGGTTGGCCGATTTGATCATTGACGATTGGATAATAGTTTGTGATTTTTCTTTGTCTTGTTTGAATAGGTTTTTACTTTTTAATGATATATTGGTTCCGCAGAATTATTATTACTAGTACGTACCCCGTGCGATGCACGGGCTGTATTATTCTTAGGGTATATTATAAATGGAAGTGCATTAATGAATAAAAAAATAAAATATTATCAATGAAGTGCATTAATAAATAAAAGTGTGATAATATGTAGGAAAATTGTCAAACCATAAAAATATTTCTCAGAAAAGATACTATATTATTAAAAACCTCTTTGTACACAACATTATTAGTTTATTTATTGAGCAACTCGTAGTCCCATAACCTAATAATATTTTCAACTCATTTATATTACTTACACACGAAGCAACAACATATAATTGACCATGACTAAAAACAGACTCTTCTTATACAAAACTAAAAGTAGGAACTGGTGCCATTAGAACTTAAATGGAAACTTAATATCGAAAGGATTTATACATGGAAGTTTAAACATGCTATTAGTTTATCAATTTCATATCGATTATACTTGATTAGCTAAATAATATTTACTAATATTTTATATTGAATCATAAAATGTTCCTCATGAAAAATTATATATTATTAAAAACCTCTTTGTACACAACATTATGAGTTTGATTATTGGGTAACTCGTCATTCTCACAAACTAATATCTTCAACCCCCTCCTATTAGTTACACGTGAAACAACAACATATAAATGGCCATGACTAAAGACAGGTTTATTCAGGAATAGACCAACGTGCGATAAAGACTGTCCATGACTCTTGTTTATGGTCATGGCATACGAAACCATAAGTGGGAACTGTCGCCGCTGGAACTTAAAAGGAATCCTAGTTTCGGATGGTGTGATATTCATCCTAGGAATCAAGACATTCTCGCCAGAGTGATCTCCTGTCAATATCCTAGAAATGAAGTATCAATATTTTACTAAAGTATATAATTTTATTTATAAAAAGTTTTAGATCTGGTATTTAATTAAATTTCAGACCAGCTTTTAAAATTCAGTTTGAACAGTAACTGTACTTCACATTTTTATAGTGTGTCCTGTTTTTTAATTTTTTAATTTTATAGAATGTTGAACTTTTGATCCAAAAACACATAAGAATCTTGTTTATTCATTCGAATATCTTTCAAAATCAAAAAGTTCTAAGAAAATGTAACATGAAAATTACTATTACAAACGATTAAAGTTCTATATCGATTTGTTGTTATTGTTCTGATTGAAACTAATGTGTACATCAAATTTATGTTGTATTTTTTGAACATTGATACCATATCAAATACTAACTCAGATCTATATTGTCGTATTGTTGTTTGTTCTTAAACAGATGACTAACAAATAAAAAATAGATTCCTCGGGCGTCGACATTTTGCTATATTTCAGTAATGATTCAGGAATTGGAGCAAGAAATAAGGTAATTAAAAAAAACATATTGTTTTCTTTAAAAATTTATCATATGATTATCTATGTATCATTGTTAAAGGTGAATAATCTGACAGCCAAAGTGAATGAAAATAACACCAATAACAGGTAACCTTGTTCATATAGTAATATTTTTCAAATATAGTTTTTATAACAGAACTGTATTATTATTCCTCTTTGGATATTAATAAAGTATTTTTATAACTTAAATATTTTTCTTTATTTCATGGAATAGGATGATGAGAAGAAATGACAATCATATAAGAGTTTACATATTCACAACAAACTCAAAGGTAAACAAAGGTAAATATAAAGTAGATAGATTTCATTGAAAAACTAAATTTTTCATATTATTTCATGTATAAAATATAGAATTCAGTGTTAACAATAAAGGTAAAAAATAAAAATAAAAATAAAATTAAAGGTACTTATTTGAGGTACTTATTTGAGATTTGTCATCAAATATGCTTCCTTTGATCTGAATTCCATGAAGTGTGTTATGAGGTTCTCTAGCTGCTGGTGTATTCCCTCTTCTCTATCTGCTGTTTTCCCTTCCATTCCGTAGGCTAGATGTCCACTCATCCTTGTGTTTGTTGCTATTAAACATGAAATAGTAAGTATAATGTAATAAAAAATAAGTTCATGTTTACACCGGAAGTAGAGAGAGAAAAAAACTTACAGCATTCGTTTTCTGATGATGTTGTGAACAACGTCGTCGCTATTGGTTTTCCCTCCAATTCGTTTTCTGATGTTGTGAGTCAGTCTATATTTCAGTCAGCACGTCTTCCAAAGAAAAAGGATGTCGGCATTAGATATTGAATAATATTAAAAAAAAAAGATATGCTAATTACAAAATACGATTTGTATGTGTTGCCCAGTTATTTGTGATTCGTTCAAAGTAACATTAGAAAGAGTGCGTTCTTTTATTTTTTTATTTTATGTAGAAGGAACCGAGAGTATGAGTGTGAATGTAATACGATTAGAAAGATAGTATATTTATAGTGATATGAATAATATCACGTTGTTCTATGAGTTCGAGTATACGACTTTGTTCAAGACTGTTAATGTTAATATTTATATAGGTTTGATTCTTATTTATACGAAGATTTGGGGAATTAAAGATATTTACGGGTTTATAGATTGTACTAATCCTTTTAAGGGATAATATTCGAATTACGTGATTATGAATATCCCGTAAATTTCGATCGGATCTTTTTCATAAATGTGCAAAGTCGTGTACAGATATTGTAGCATTTTAGTTAACAAAATCAAATATTTTTGGATGAGAGATTGATTATATCAATTTAGTTAAAGTCGCACATTAGTTAAAGTCGCACAAATTTTGTTGTAATTAGTTAAAACAAAATCGGAATTAATTTGGATGAGATATTGATTACTTCCATTTAGCATGAAACACGTGTGATATATTGAATTGATTCCAATTAAAATTGGGAAGGCATTAATAGACAATCTTTTTTGTAAGGAATTATTTTTTTTTTACGTGTGGGGTCAATTTATGTAGAGATTTGTGAACAAAATAATTCCTACAAATTCGTATCAATTTGGTAAGGAATTTTGTATCAATTATGAAATGTGTGAAAAAAAAAATATCCACAAAATCTGTTAACATTTTTTTTAACAATATTTGAAATGCAAGGATGGATTCCAATAATTTGGGTAAAGAATTATTTTTTTAAGTGGCGTAAATTTATGTAGTGATTTGTGAACAAAATAATTCCTACAAATTCGTTTCAATTTGTTAACGAATTTTGTAACAATTATGAAAGGTATGAAAAAATAAAATCCCAAAAAATCCGTGAACCTTTTTTTAACAATATTATAAATGCAAGGATGGATTCCAATATTTTTGTGATTCAATTATTATTGGATATTTGTATTAATTATGAAATATGTGAAAGAATAAATCCCACAAAATTTGAAAAAATTGTAACAAAATTTGAAATTGAAGGGTGGATGGAAAGATTGATTACGTAATTTATATTTTTACTTAATTTTATGTTAATTAATTTAACGTGTGGGACCTCTATGGTGATTACTTAAAGTAGTAATTATTACTTAAATTAGTAAGTCAAAGTATTATTTTTTTAGTCAAACATACTATTTTTGTATTTTTCCAACAACCTCTTTATATTACTATAGATTATTATTATTTTTTTAAACTAAAATTTTGAATTATGCGTGGCCCCCAAGCACAATCACCTGAACCCTACCTCAACCGCCTTATTCCTAAACAATGGTAGACTCCTCCTCTTCTCTATAAAAAGGACACAAACTCAGCAGCAATAACTAACGAAAAAAAAAAATAAAATCCCCAAAATATCGACGGAAAAGCAAAAGACGTGAAGATGCAATCGTTTGTGGAGGTTCAATCAATGGCTACCAGATACTTCTCCGCCTACGCCTCCATGGCGGCCACTGTCATGCTCTTCCGATCGATCGCCAACGACGCCATCCCGCAGCCGGTCCGATCCTTCTTTCTCTCCACCATCGGCCCATACCTCAGCCGCCTCCTCCGCCGACTTTTCCCTTCCCCCAACAAACCCGAACGCACGACCCTCGTCGTCGACGAAAAGGCCGGCCTCCTCCCAAACCAGATCTACGAATCCGCAGAGATCTACCTCCAGACCAAACTCCGCCCGGACTCGGATCGCCTCCGAGTCCACAAAACCGCCAAACAGAAAACCATCACCCTCGGTCTTGTCCAGGACCTGCCGGTCCAGGACCGGTTCGCCGGCATCGATCTGACGTGGCAGTTTGTCCACGTGGAGCCGGACCGCTCATCCGAGAACTACCGTCAGGAGAAGCGCTACTTCGAGCTCTCGTTCGACAAGTCAAACAAGGAGACCGTGGTCAACGACTACCTTCCTTTAGTCCTGCTTAGGGCCAAGGAGATAAAGTCGAAGGATCGAGCGGTGAGGCTGTACTCAACTCGCCACTACATGGGCGGCAGCGAAGACGAGTGCGGCGCGGGCCGTTCCGGGATGTGGGGTTACGTGAACCTTGACCACCCGGCCACTTTCGAGACCCTCGCCATTGACCCGGACATGAAGCGGGCCGTGATCGAGGACCTTGACCGGTTCGTGAGGAGGAAGGATTACTACAGAAGAGTAGGAAAGGCTTGGAAGAGGGGTTATCTCCTGTACGGTCCCCCTGGGACTGGAAAATCGAGCCTCGTGGCAGCCATGGCTAACTACCTCAAGTTCGACGTGTATGACATCGAGCTTACGAGTGTTTACAACTCGGATTTGAGAACGATGCTACTTAACACAGGTAACCGGTCGATTGTGGTGATTGAGGATATCGACTGCAGTCGCCAGATGCATAATAGAAACGGGCCGGGCCGTGCTGCCGGCCAAGGATCACACGAGCAGCTGACTTTGTCGGGCCTACTGAACTTCATAGACGGGCTTTGGTCGACTTGCGGTGATGAGAGGATAATTATTTTCACCACTAACCATAAGGAAAAGATCGACCCGGCACTTTTACGGCCCGGGCGAATGGACATGCACATTAACATGAGTTACTGCACGCCCCACGGTTTTGATACCTTAGCGAAGAACTACTTGGGAGTAGATGAGGATCACCCGATGTTTGGTGAGATTAAGGATTTGATTGCAGAGATTGAGATAACTCCGGCTGAGGTGGCGGAGCATTTGATGAGGAACGAGGATGCTGACATGGCACTTGAAGGTGTGGTGGACTTGTTGAAGAAGAAGAGGGATGAGAAGATTAATGGGAGAACAGAGGACAATAATAAAGCCAATGATGATGGGGCTGATCATCATGAGGAAAATAAAACTGGATATGGACATGATGGCATTGCAAATGGATATGGACCTGGATATGGATATGGATCTAGATATGGATCTGGATATGGACTCGGATATGGATCTGGATATGGACCTGGATATGGATCTGGATATGGACTCGGATATGGATCTGAATATGGATCTGAATATGGATATAGTGATGAAGATGAATAAACACTCGGACTTTGAATGGATCCGAAGTATCTAAGTCAAGCTAAAAGCTCTGAGTTTTCTAAATCGTTGTTATACGATCAACACTGCCTCTACTTGAGCTATATATGAGATATTAAACCGAGCGTATTTATCATATGCCGGACGCTCGTATTTATCATATGCCGGACGCTCTGTGATGCCACAGAATGATCATATAAATAATGAAATGCTTTAGCTGGGTTTGAGTATTTTGGTTCTTCTTTCATGCGTTTTCATTTTTAGGGGTAACAGTGCCTAATAATATAAAGGAAGAATGAATTATTTTTAGTGGTGTATTTGTTTGAGAATTTTTAAAGATTCAATGGGACTTTAAGAATTTAATTAATGTATTTAATATAGACTTTTTAAGATTTTTTTTTTTTTCAAATTTATAAAAGTCATGAGTTATTCATTTAATATTTCAAAAAATCTTAACAAAACACAAAATATATATTATTTACTTGTATCAAACTTTGAGTGAGCAGAGTCCTTGTAAGTTCTATAGTTAATGTGATAATAGCTACCTTGTACAGTTGTACTTATGTAATTCTCACCATTGTTGGCCAAACTTCGTGGTTATGTTGTATAATTGTCATTTTAGATCTCACAGAACTTATATTGCTCTTTTTCATTACCTTTTAAGATACATGACTAGAAATTTGCAAGCTTTGAAGCATATGATGATGTTGCTCGTATTTATTATCCAGTATTTGAAGTAGAGTGCAAGTATTGTGGTTTTCTTTCCTCACATTGTTCGTTTTGTTGACTTAAGGCAGCCAGGGCGACTGGTTTAATGATAGGGTATGCACAACAAAAGTTATATGGACGACTTGTGGTCTGCTTAATATTTGGATGCAACTATATGGGTGATTGTACTTATTTTTGACGTCATGCGACGACGGCCGGTGTCTGGAATGGGGACAACGAAGATGGAGGCGGAGAGGCCGTGTGCCTGAAAGGTTGTCTGGTTTGCGTCGCCGGAGAAAACAACCTCTCGTCGTTGGATTTGAGAGGCAGGGTCAGATTTGAAAGGCGGCGGCGGGCGCTGGCGTTCACGGGTATCGGCCGGCGACGAGCGGTGAAAGGCGCCGGACTGCGACGGGCGCTCTGCGGTTTGGCCGGTGGCTGTCAGGCTTTGACCAATTCAAGTGTGTGTATATGTGTGTGCTACCGTTGGGGTGTGTGTGTGTTTGAGAGAGAGAGAGAGAGAGATTAATTACCTAGGAGAGTGAGACGGTTAGATATTAGACAATTAGATATATTAATAGTTGGCAGATTTTTTTATTATTAATGTGGGGTGGGGTCCACCTCTTTATGTGTGGTGTAAAAATTACTACAATACACTTAATGAAAGG